CAGTCAAGTGCCTTAGCCACTATGCTACCAGAGCTCCCATTATTCATTCTAGTCTTGGTTTAAAGGTTTATGAAGCTGAGTTCAGCCCTCCTACGTGTCTCACTACATTAGTGTCCTGTGTCCCAAAAACATTGGGTAGTTAATTATCTTCATAATCATTTTCAGTGTGGCATGTCACAAGCAGGGAGGTGCTATCGTGAGGTGGAAAGAGTGGGAGTTTTCAACTCATAGCTGGGTTCAAAAACCCGGCCCTGCCACTTACTAGTTGGGCTATCCTGAGCTCAATAGAGATAACAGTATGCATATTCAAAAAGGTTTAAAATCACGCTGCAAAAATAAATTTTAAAAAAAAATTTTTTTTAAAAAGATTTGAAATCAGATCATGTGTATAAAGCCACTCCTGCATGGGTAGGGCTGTGCCAGGTCCCTTTCTCTCCCACCTATCTCTCCACGTAGCCCATCACCTTGTCCCAGAGAAAACCAAATGTGTTAAAGCTGTGAGAGCTGTCCTTAGGGTGCTCTGCTGGAAACCCATCCTGCAGACAGCGTGGCAACTTTCATTTTCTCCCTGAAGGATGCCACAGGCACACACGTCCCTGCCACATATTCCACATAGACACCTCCCCCTCTTGACATTATAGCAGGAAGGATGGAGAGAGGCTGTTACCCAAGGGAGCTGGTTCTTCTTGTCACATAAGAGCAGATGCTGAAATCCTAGGACAGATAGCACAGAAATGCGGCAGCAGGAGGGTGAGTCAGAGGAAATGGGATGGTCTCACCTCCCAGATACACCAAGGCCCAAAGCAGAACCCCATTTGAATCCCTTGCTTCCTGGAGACCCTGAAGGGCAGAGGGTATGTGTTTTCAGGACCAAGTTGGAGTCTAGCTATTCCAAAGGCTCCCTTCCCCACCCCCCACACCCCAAAGCCCCAAAGGGAACACCAAGAACAGAGAGAGCACATGGAGGCTGCTATTGTTGTTATGTGCCTTCGCAGTATCACTACGGAAGTAGATTGTCCAACCTTCCTTCCGAGGAGTGGCTGGTGGTTTGAACTGCCAGCCTTCTGGTTAGCAGTCAAGTGCCTTAGGCACCACGCCACCAGAGCTCCTATGGAGGCCGCAGTCACTTGGAAACCACCTTTGGCATCCACATCCCAGTAAGCTGTCCAGCAGATTCTCTTCTGCTGTGCTGCATATTTCTCAAGTCCTCTGGGGCAATGCTCTGTGGAAGACACCATCCTGACCTGGTGCACACTTATTTTCTACATAGAACACCTTAGGCTGGGGTCCCCAACCACCACCACCCCCAGGAGAGAGAGGAGTACTGAGGTTTCTTCTGAGGCAATCTGGGGAAGGGCCATCACTGGGGATAATCAAAGCTGAACCTGAGAGCTCTGAATTTACTTATTCGCCACTGTACTTAGGATGTGCAGAGAGCCTAATGATTATAACAATAGTAACCACAGGGTGGGGAGAGTGGTGATGAGGATGTTGTGGTTCATAAGCTTCCTTCTCTGGGCTCCTGTCAGCCCAGCCCTAGCCCTCCTGCCTTCTCATCCACTCTGTGTAGTAAGTTACCCACCTCTCCCACGGAGCCACACCAGCTCCCTAAGTCCCCCTACCTTCCCAGGTCTCCTTCCCTAATTCTGCAGACTGACCTTCTTAAAGGTACCTTCTACAGAGGGTACCGTCTGCCAAACAGAGGTTGGGAAATGCCCCTGGAGGCTTTTTGGTGCTGTCCTTGTAAATATAAACTAAACACTGACTAGCTCACAGAAATATTAAGGTGTCAAGATAATCAAATCATTATTTTTTATAACTTAACGCAACCAGCATGACCACTGACAGTAACTTCTGATGATCTAGAATCCAAACAAACAGAAAGCCCAAATACTGGATATTTTTTCCCTAATTGTACCAAATAGTGATTAATGTTCACTATTATAACTGTGATAGCCTTTAAGGCAGATTGGGATGTGCCTTAGAAGTCGTAGAAAGAGGTTTGGTGGATGTTTTCTCAGAGTCTGGGTGGCTCTCGCCTGCCCCGCCTTCAGATCTTTGTTCAATGTCTGTTCAATGTCGTCCTCCTGAAAACCCTCTCAAACGGCCCTGCTGCAAATGGCCTTCTGCCCTGCCTCCCCCTTTACCTTGACCGTTCTGATCTCCATGTCCTTGCTCTAGTTTTCTTTATCAAGTCGCTGGGTGGTGAAAATGGTTAGTGCACTCGCCTGCTAACTGGGGATTGGAAGTTTGAGTTCACCCACAGTGCCTCAGAGAGGAAGGCCTGGCCATCTACTTCCGAAAAGTCAGCCACTGAAAACCCTAAAGACCTAGAGCACAGGCTTACTCTGACATATGCAGGGTCTCCGTTAGTTGGAATCAACTCAGTGACAACTGGTTTTCACTGGTTTTATTTTTCTTCGTAGAACTTAATACCAACTCTATTCTACTTGTTTATTTTTGTATTACCTGTCTTGCACAGAAATGTGCATGGACACATACACACACACACACACACACTTGAATAAACAAACATAAGCAAAGATATTTGTTTACTGTTGTACCTCAGTGACTAAAAAAGTACCTGGTACATAATAAACCCTTGATAAATGTTTGTTCAGCATATCAAATATGGTTTCATTGATAAGTAAACTTTAAAAAAATACTGTGATAAAATATTAATATAAAATTTTCCCTTTTAAGTATAAAATTCAGTGGCATTAATTACATTCACAATGTTGTTCAGCCATTATTATAGTCTATTTCCAAAATAAGGAGCTCTACAAGCATAGTGCCTAAGGCATTTGACTGCTAACCAGAAGGCTGGTGGTTCAAACCCACCAACCACTCCTTGTAAGGAAGACTGGACAATCTGCTTCTGCAGTGTAGATACCACCTCAGAAACCCAAGGAGGGGTCACTATGAGTCAGATCCGACTCGAAAGCAGTGATTTTTTTTTTTTTAATTTCCAAAATGAGTACATTTCTATTCTTCATTTAAAATAGGTAGTCTTTTGAATATTTATACATGGTCTTCCTCATCCTGAATCCATTAATTCATTCTTTTACTCAACAAATGCCAGTTAAGTGCCTGTTATGTGCCCAGCCCTGTCCAAGGCACCAGGGATCTGATAATGAACAAGACAGACAAATTATCCCAGTTCCTGTGAGTCTCAACATCTAGTGGCGAGAAGGACCATGCACATTTGTAAGCAAATTAGTGAAAATGATGGAGATTGAAAAAACTATGATGAAAAAAGTCAGTCCAGTGCTGAGAGAACATGACAGGAGGGGCCCATCAGATACAGAGAGGCCTTTGAGGGATGACATTTAAGAGATTGGAAGATTAAGACTTGATGCTGTTGGGAAGAGGAAACCCTATTCCCCAAGCATCTGCAATGACTGAATGTGGTACACACAGGGCTTTAAACCAATTCATTCTGGTTCATTCAGATCCTGATTCAGTATATCTGAGGCACCAAGGCAAATTCTCAGCAGGAGGTCAAACTGGGTTCCAAGTCTTGGGTATACAACATGAGAGGTCTTAAAGAGAACAGGGAAGAAATTCTGAGTCCAAAGCCTAAGTTCCATCCCCACTCAACTATTTATTAGTCGTACCACCTTGAAAAGGAGCCCTGGTGGCACGAATGGTGAAGGGCTCAGCTGCTAACCAAAAGGTTGGTGGTTGGAACCCATCTAGCCACGAGTGCAGGAGAAAGACCTGCCAATCTGGTTCCATAAACATTACAGCCAAGAAAACCCTATGGGGCAGTTCTACTCCGTCATGTGGAGTCGCTGTGAGCAGCGATCCACTGGACAGCACCCAATCATCTTGAAAATGTTCCTCAAACTGAATCTCCCTTTCCTTCTCTCTAAGATGGGGGTAATACCTATCTGGTATCTCATAGGTGTGGGCTGTATGAGAAAATGTATGTGAAAGTGTTTAACACTCACCTGATGTTGTTAAGGGTGAAAGGATAAGTACCATGGGTAAGTAAGAATTTCCTACTGGGTGGAGTATCCTGGGGTGGGATCTTGTCCTCTAGTGTATTTCCACCGAAGAAACCAAAATGTATGGCAAAGCCCGATGCCATTGCTTGCTGGAGTATTTATTCTGCTAGGCATCTGTCTTGGTTCACATGGCCATGTCTTGAGAGATGTCTAGGGAGGTGTCCCAGGGGCTGTGGCTCCCTTTTCCAAGTACTGTGTTTTCCAAGTACTGTGAGAGGAATAGGAGCTCTGGTAGCATAGTGCCTAAGGCACTTGACTGCTCACCAGAAGGCTGGCGGTTCAAATCCACCAGCCACTCCTCGGAAGGAAGGTTGGGCATTCCTACTTCCCTAGTGATACTGCCTCAGAAACCCAAGGAGGGGGTCGCTATGAGTCCGGGCCGACTCCATGGCAAATAACAACAACAACGTGAGAGGAATAGGAGAGCCTCTTCTCCACAAGACTCTTCAGAGCTGTGTTCGTCTTCTTGCTCTTGCTGATAGTACCTGCCCCTAAGACCCAGAGAATGACCTGACAGATTTGTCTGATGGTACCCTAAGAGAGGTCCTCTCCACTCCTGTGTGAGTTTGGTGTGCATGACTATCCGCAGGCCGTCCTGGGGCCTGCGTCTTCTGAGGGCCCCAGGACAGCCTGCGGATAGTCATGCACACCAAACTCAGGCGTGGAGAGGAGGCAGGAGACAGGAGCAAGGGCCGGTCCTGGGGCAGAGGATGCGAGCGCTTTGAGTACTGCAAAGGGAAAGGAGGGAGAAATGAAAGGTGTTGGAAGGAGTGCGGGGTGTGGGGTGCAGAGGGCTGGCAGGGAGAGTAGGGATAGCCAGAAGGAGGAAAAGGCCACGGGGAAAAGGAAAGCCAGACAGGAGATGGGAGGAGAGAGGGCCGCAAGCCTGCGCCGCCGGCTGGAAGCGGGCGGTGGCCTCCGGGGGCGGCGCTGTCAGCGCGAGGCAGCGGCCCCCGGGGGCTGCGCTGTCAGCGCGAGGCGGCGAGCGGCATGCAGCGGCCGGAGGCCTGGCCACGTCCGCACCCGGGGGAGGGGGCCTTAGCGGCCCAGGCTGGGGGCCCGACGCCGCCCGCCCGAGCCGGAGAGCCCGCGGCGCCGCGGGTACGGAGCGGACGGGAGGGCGCCCGGGGTCCCCTGGAGGCAGAGAGGGGCGCGGGGGGTGGGGGACAGCCAACTCACAACCGGCGCGCTGGCGGCTGGGAACTTTATGCTACCCCTAACCAGCCCCAGTAAGGGGCCTGGGCCTAGGGCAGGGGACAAAGTTCCTCCGGGTGTGGACTCGTGAGGAGGCTTGCTCTGAGTCGGCTGAAGTTCTGGATCACTTTGGGGCGGTGACAGACAGGAAAGGTGTGTGTGTGGGACGGGGGGGGGGGGGGGGGGCGGGGGGGTGCGGGGGGGGGGGGGGGGTGGAGATTCCGCTGGGAGGGGTAAAGGTGGCCTGTTCCTGGGCTGCCGTAAGTGTTTCTGGAGCCCACCACCGTCAGGGGGCTGGGGGCACTCTGAGAGCGTGGGTCGAGCCTCGGCCGCTGGTCGGCTGGAAGGAGGCGGCTCGGCGCTGCTGTCTCCCCGGCCCAGGTTCTGTGATACACTCCGACTCGGGCTCTGGGGCAGTCAGTGCATGACAGAACTTGGGCCCGAGGGACCTTTTGCACCCAACAGGCGCAGGGCCCACGCGGGGGGCCTGCAGCGGAACATCTGCCTGGAGGTAGAGAAGGCACCAGAGTTGGCCCATGTGGCAGGGGTTGGGCTTGGTCCTGTTGTGGAACTTTGGGGTTGAGGTCTCTGAGGCCTAAGGGTGTACCCCTGAGGTCAACAGATCCCAGTGAGGCAATGACAGGGTATCCACCTTAAGAGTTGTTGCTTCAGGGGCCAAAAGAGTTCCCCCTCCCCTGTATCAGTTGCAGGAACCTTCCCTCTACACCATCAAGGCTGTTTTCATCCTGGATAATGATGGGCGCAGGCTACTGGCCAAGGTAATCGCCCCTCCCATTCTAACCTACATGGTGGACACTAGAGGGGCCCTGGACACAGAGGATGGAAAAACAACACTGTGGTCTCTAACTGTGGGCATCTCAACACCAGAGCTCCTGCTGGCTATCGCTCTGACTCATCAGGCTGCTGGCTCCTGAAATGGGAAGGAAGGTCCCCTGTTTCTACTCATGCTCCCTAAAATGGAACAGCAAGGCTGTTAATCTTTATGGAAGCAGACCGCTTCATCTTTCTCTCACAGAAGTGGGTTTGAACTGCCGACCTTTTGGTTAATAGCATTAATCCCTGCGCCACCAGAGCTCCTTTAGCATGCAACACATTATTATAGCTTTTTGTCCTTGTGTTTGTTTATTTGGGGCTGAGGATGTGTCTTCCAAATTCTTTTTCATTCTCATGACATTTCAAAGAGCTTGTCTCCTTGCAGCAGGGACCAAATCAGCAAGGGCTGATTTGCCTGCACATCGGGCACTAAGATGCAAGATACACCCTTAAAATTTTGAGAAGTGATCATACCTTTCCCTGGCAGGTGGTGATCTGAGGTGGATGGGGGCAAGGCCTCCTCCAAGGACCCAGCCATGGGACAGATTTGGTTTAGTGAGCAGGCAGGCATTGTTGTTGTTAGGTGCCATCGAGTAGGTTTTCACTCACAGCAACCCTGTGTACAACAGGACAAAACACTGCCCAACACTGCACCGTCTGCACAATCATTGCCATGCTTGACGCCATCGTTGCAGCCACTGTGTCAGTCCATCTCACTGAGGGTCTTTCCCTTTTTCACTGACCTGCTATTTTATCTGATATCCTTCTCCAGGGACTGGTCCCTTCTGACAACATGACCAAACTACGAGAAATGAAGTCTAGCCATTCTTGCTTCCAAGGAGCATTCTGGCTGTACTTCCTCAAAGACAGATTTATTTGATCTTTTAGCGGTCCATAGTACATGCAATATTCTTTGCCAACACCACAATCCAAATGCATCAATTCTTCTGTGGTCTTTCTTAGTCACTGTCCTGCTCTCACATGCATATGAGGTTATTGAAAATACCATGGCTTGGGGCTGGTGCTTCGTAGTCTTCAAAGTGACATCTTTGCTCTTAAAGACGTCTTTTGCAGCAGATTTGCCCAATGCAATACATTGTTTGATATCTTGACTGCTTCTTCCATCGGCATTGATTGTGGATCCAAGTAAAATGAAATCCTTGACAACTTCAATCTTTTCTCCATTTATCATGATGTTGCTTACTGGTCCAGTGGTGAGGATTTTTGTTTTCTTTATGTTGAGGTATAATCCCAACTGAAGGCTATAGTCTTTGATCTTCATCAGTAAGGGCTTCAAGTCTTCTTCACTTTCAGCAAGCAAGATAGGCCTAGAGGGCAATGAAGGGGAGATGGAACATCACAGCAGGGTCCCCCTTGGTCAGCATCCACTGTGTCCTGCCACCCACCCAGCCAGCTATCACCCCTTTTCCCCTTCTCATAGTATTATGATGACACATTCCCCTCCACGAAGGAGCAGATGGTCTTCGAGAAAAATGTCTTCCACAAGACCAGCCGGACTGACAGTAAGTGTCCGCCTTTTCTTCCACCAGAACCCTCAGTTGCACACTGTCATCCTCTCCATCTGGACACATCTGTCCCTGTTGGCCTTATACACCCACGGGCCATTCTGTTTTCTTCAGAGGCTCTCTCCTCTCCTTCCCAGCTATTCTCCCCTCTCTCCAGGCACCTTCATTCTCTATCTTTCTCCATTCTGCTCCTCCCCAGGCTCCCTCCCTCCACCACTCCTAGACCTCTCTCTCAGCCAAAGAGGCTACTTTTGTTGTCGGTCCCCTTCCAGCCTGGAACTCACCACAGGAAACTGTGCAGAGTGGAGATTGGGTAGGAGGCCCTGAACTGGGTTTGTTGACGCCTCAAAATAAGGCAGTATCTAGACATGAGGTAGAGGATGGGGGAAGACATAGGGCAGCCTTATGGTAGCGTCCCTACGACTGGTCTTTCTAAGGATTCCTTGGAGAGGAAAGAAGAAAGTAGAGGGAGAGGTGCAAAGCTGGAGAAGGGGCTGTTGTTGTTGTTGTTGTTGTTATGTGCCGTCAAGTCGAACCTGACTCATGGCGACCACTCCCTGGGTTTCCGAGGCAGTATCACTACGGAAATAGATTGCCCCATCTTCCTTCCGAGTGGAGAAGGGGAGGAGAGGCCAGATGGGCCAGGCAGGAGGGGCCAGGACTGAAAGCCCCCTCTACTTCCAGGTGAGATTGCATTTTTCGGGGGCATGACCATCGTCTACAAGAGCAGCATCGACCTCTTCCTGTATGTGGTGGGCTCATCCTACGAGAATGAGGTGAATTCAGGAGGGCAGGGTGGCAAGGAGGGCCTGTCTGTGGGAAATGCCTTGGAGGCTGGGGTACAGGGTGGGTTGTGGTGGGGTTCACAATTGGAACCCTTCCTTCCAGGCTCCGGGGTTTCACTAGAATGGTTCTATCTGGAACACTGTGTATCCATGATACCACTTAGGTTCCCTGAGAACCAGAAATGAGGTCAACACTGCCTATGCAGGGAGCTTTTGTTTCTTTCTTAAACATAAGGATACATTCAGTGTCCCTTAGTGGAACACTCCAGCATTTCCCACCCCAAATACAAGAGGTCCCCTCTGCAGTCTCCTGCTACAATCTCAGCCCACACCTCTCTCATATGAGAGAGGACCAGCTACTGCTGCCACCTAGGCAGGTACTAAGGACTCCTTTTGGCCTTCTCAGCCTCAAGCTCTCGTTTTCTTCCCTCTACTCTCCATCCGCAGTTGATGCTCATGGCTGTTCTCACCTGCCTGTTTGAGTCTCTGAACCACATGTTAAGGTAAGTGAGGCTTTTTGCCCTTCAAAACTCCCATCCCCCTAGGCCCTGATGCATCACAGACTCCCATCCTCCCTGCTTTTCTCCTGAAGTCCCTGCAAGACTGAGACTGGAATCTGAGTAGACCCTTCCAAGGCTCTGTCCTTTACCTGACCACCACGGTGTCCCAGAACAGAGCCAGGCAGAGGGTATGGCCAGGCAGACTCTGGGTGCTTAGCAGACATGGTGTCAATGCCCACAGTGTGGGTAGTTGGGCAAAGTGAGGCTCAAGGAAGCAGACCTGTCCTGTGCTCAAGAACCCCTTGCCCAGTTCTCCCCTAACTGCTCTTTACATGCCCCTTCCTAGTCCTTTGTTGAGGGTAGATGGAGGCAGTCTTTGGACAGGGAGTGTTTGCCCTGCTCCACCTAGGCAGGGACCCTGTTCCTCTTGGCCACTGGGAGACTCAGGAGCTTGTGTCTGCCTTCAGGAAGAACGTGGAGAAACGCTGGCTGCTGGAGAACATGGATGGAGCCTTCCTGGTGCTGGATGAAATTGTGGATGGCGGGTGAGGAGGGGATGGAGAAAAGAGGGAATGGTCAGGGATAATCAAAGTAAGAGGGTACCTTTGAAGGGTCATCAGACCTAGAGTACACCATGCATGTTGCTGGCTCTTTGGCCAACTTCTCCCTCCCTTTCCCCAACATACTCTCAGTTATCCCATCCCACTCTTTATCATTACCCCCACCTAACGATGGGGATGGAAATAAATCTCAATGTTAGTCAAAGCCAAGTCCAAACAAAGAAGGTATCTGATGTCAAAATAAGGTAGACTATTAAGTAGACAGGATGTGGAAGAGGTTCCAGTTTGATCTCCAGTATCCAGGAGAAGCAGGCAGCACAGACACTTGCCCCTTCTTGGAAGGACTTCATCAGGCAGTGTCCTGCTAGCTCCACACCTCCCACTCCTAGAGCTCAACTCCTACAACTGTGGCCAGTTACCTACTTCCCCTGAGCCTTACTTTCCCCATCTTTAAAGTGGGGATGATAAGGGAATTACCTCATAGGATTGTGGGAATTAAATGACATGATACATTTGAAGTTCATAGTTTTTGCTCAGTAAAGGTTGCCTCTTATTAGCATGCCATTACACCCACTTCTCACTTATCAACATGGTTAGATTCCAAAAACCAGGCCATTATGTGAAAATCAGCATTATGCAAAAAATGGAGGATAAACATGTCAGGTGACAAAATGGAGGATGACTGCATCATTGCATAACTGCCAAACCACTGAGAATCATGGTCCAGCCAAGTTAACACATAACCTTAACCATCACAAGCCAGTGTTATTCTCATCTTGGCGTTCATCACTGCCAGACATACATCATTAATATGCCAAATAGTCAGACAGTAGAGTTTTTACTCTTATTATAAATGTGAAATGTCTGATAACAAGACAGTCAATAAGTGAGGAGTAGAGGTATTATCTTAAGAGGCTGGGCATTCGTATGAAAGGCATTGGCTGGCGGATTTCCATGAAGGGCAATATTCAGGGAGAAAAAGAAGTTCTGGTTCCGGAACAAAGGATAATAAAAACTTCTTGATTTTTATTGCCTCTACAATCACATCCATTTTATAGATGAGGAGGCAAAGGCTTAGAGATTCAAATGACTTGCCCAAGGTCACACAGCTTAGGAGTGGAGGACCAAGATCTAAAACCATGTACATTGTTCCAGCGGTTGTGTGATTTCCACTACACAGTCTACACAGTACCCTACTGGTCGGGCCAGGAAAGGAGTACCTTGGGAAATGGGTCCTGCAGAATTCCTCCTCTCCCCGCTCTGTAATTACTGACTGTCTACTACTGTTACCTACTGCCATTCAGTCCATTCTGACTCATAGCAACTTGTTCAGACAGAGTAGAACCGCCTCATAGGTTTCTAAGGCTGTAAATCTTTACAGAAGCAGACTGTATCTCCTTTCTCCCGTGGAGCAGCTGGTGGGTTCAAACCAGTGACCTTTTGGCTACCAGTCAAATGATTTAACCACTGTACCATCAGGGCTCCTTCTACTACTACTAAGCCTGTGCTAATTGTGGGTCTCAGTGAGTAGAGTAAGACCAGGTTTTGTGGAGCTGGAAATGCATAGTTTTGGGGAAACTTTTAAGGCAAAAAAAAAAAAAAACACCTTACAACATTACAAGTACAAAATGAAGTAAAGGGCCTTGGAAGGACCTCTGCAAGGGAGGACACCTGAAGTATAAGTTTTATAAGCTTCAGGGTTTCTGCCTCCAAGTAAAGCCCAGTCTCCCATCACAGAAAATCTGGGAAGTACCAGTAGGGAGGCAGTACCTGGAGCTTTGGCCTGGGGTACCTCGGACTTTATGAAATAAACAGCTTCTGGTTAGGAAGCCTAGGGCTGGGACTTAAGGCCTAGAAAAGGTCCCCAAGAAATGTTTGTTCACTTGGATTGGTACAAAAGAAAGAGCAAACTAAACTTCTAACCCTTAAGGATCCTCATCAGATTAAAAGGAAAACCCAGTTTCTGTTGTCTCTGACAGAGGTAGCACCATCCCACCCACATTAATAGTGTTCACATCCCATGCACACTTGCACACACCCACAAATGGCTCCTAGAACCCCCAGTGCAACATAAGAGAGTGCCTATTAATTGGGAAAAGCCTCAATATTTGGGTGTGTCAAAAGGGAAGGTAGTTTGGCAGTTCCTCAAACAGTTAAACATAGAATTACCATATGACCCAGCAATTCCACTCCTACATACATGCACAAAAGACTTGAAAGCAGGGACTCAAACAAACACTTATACACCAGTGTTCTTTGTAGCATTACTCACAAAAGCCAAAAAGTGAAAATAGCCCAAGTGTCTATCACTTGGGTTGAATGGATAAACAAAATGTGGTATATGCGTACAATGGAATGCACCTACTCCTCACTTATGGACTATCTCAGTATCCAACATTTCACATTTACAATAGTGAAACATCTACTATCTGACTATTTTGCACATTAATGATGTCTATCTGGCAGCAATGAATGCTGAGGTTCAGAGAAGAATACACTGGCTGTGATGATTAAGGTTGTGTGTCAACTTGACTGGGCCATGATGGTAAGTGGTTTGACAGCCATATAATGATATAGTTGGCAGTTATGCAATGATGTAGTCACCCTCCATTTTGTGATCTGATGTGGTGATCCTCCATATCTGCAGCTGGTTTTCACATAATGACCTAGTCTTTGGAACCTAACCATGTTGCTAAGTGAGCAGTGGGTATGCTATTCAGCTATAAAAAGGAATGATGTTCTGATACATGCTACAATATGCGAGAACCCTGAAAACATTATGCTAAGTGTGAAAGAAGCCAGACAATATTGTATGATTTCACTTATATGATATATCTAGAACAGGCAAATTCACGGAAACAAAGTAGATTGGAGGTTGCCAGGGCTTGGAAGGAGTGCAAAATGAGAAATTATTGTTTAATGGGGTACAGAGTTTCTGTGTGGGGTGATGAGAAAGATTTGGAAATAGTGCTTATGGCCATACAACACTGTGAATGTAGATAAGGCCACTGATTGTACACTTGAAAATAGTTAAAATGGCAAACCTCATGTTATTTGTATTTTACTATGATTGAAAAAGGGAAAAGTTAGTGGGGAGATAGATTTGACTTCTGGAGTTCCTTTCGTATTTTTTGAATACAGCATGGCCCTTTCACATAAAATAATAGGGGGTTTCCCTTCTCTGTGTCTGAGTCATATTACAGGGAATAATCCATCCCTAGACCCAAAAGGGGGAGCTCTGGTAGCATAGTGCCTAAGGCACTTGACTACTAACCAGAAGGCTGGCGGTTCAAACTCACCAGCCACTCCTTGGAAGGAAGATGGGGCAATCTACTTCCGTAGTGATACTGCCTTGGAAACCCAAGGAGGGGTCGCTATGAGTCGGGTCCGACTTGACAGCACATAATAACAACAACAGACCCAGAAGGCTGGCAGTTCAAACCCACTAGCCACTCCTTGGAAGGAAGATAGGGCAATCTACTTCTGTAGTGATACTGCCTCGGAAACCCAAGGAGGGGTCACTATGAGTCGGGACCAACTCGACGGCACATAACAACAACAACAACAAACCCAGAAGGAGCTCTGGTGGCATAATGCCTAAGACATTTGATTGCTAACCAGAAGGCTGGTGGTTCAAACCCACCAGTCACTCCGCAGAAGGAAGACTGGGCAATCTACTTATACCGTCTCAGAAACCCAAGGAGGGGTCACTATGAGTCGGAACCAACTTGACAGCAATGACTTTGGTTTGGTTTGGTTTAGACCCAGAAGGTGAAGTGAACTTTTAAGAGCTCAGAGCTTTGTGGGTCTCTGCTATTGATAACCTGATTATTCTAGACTGGACTGGCCTAACCTGATTTCAAAATTTTTGCCCAATAATGACCAAATAGATTTGAAATGTGGAGGGATGAGAGCTGAGGGCTCACGCATGGTAAGGAGGGCTCTGATTTAAGCAGTCTCAGTAAGGGGCCTGGAGGGGCAATGTTGCAATATGCGTTGAGGAAAGGGAAGAAGCTTGGCAGGAAGAGGAGACAGAGGAGAGAATGATCTCACCAATTTTCATCCTGGTTTTTCTCTTGTCTTGCAGCGTGATTCTGGAAAGTGACCCCCAGCAGGTGATCCAGAAAGTGAATTTTCGGGTAAGAGTCTTCCTGCATCCCCCACACTCCCACTTCCTCCAGGCTGGGCAACCCACCCCTCCTATCCCCCTGTGGAGAGGACCAGCATGGTGGAAACTCAGGCTCCTCTGTAGAACCAACCACTGGACTGATGCACCTTCTGGGAGCGTCAGTTGCAGAAGTCTGTTAATATAAGACACAGTCTTGTCCCTTCCCCCTCTGGGATCACCAGGCACTCACCATCTCCCTAGTGGAAAGTACCAGTCCATAATAATAATAATAACCAATTGCCATAGAGTTGACTCCGACTCATGGTAATCCCTGTGCCTGTGTGTATCAGAACAGAACTGGGACCCACAGTGTTTTCAGTGGCTGATTTCTGTTGTTCTTGAGAATATACACAGCAAAACCTACACCAGTTCAGCAGTTCCTCCAGGTACAATTCAGTGACGTTGATTACATTCTTCAAGTTTTGCAACCATTCTCACCCTCCTTTGTGGAGTTGTTCTTCCCTTCATTAACATAAACTCACTGCCCCCTGAGGTTCCTACCTGTCTTTCAGGTTGCTGTTGCCAATTTGCTCCCAGTATAGGTAGTTCTTTGTGTGTGTATGTGTGATTTGTGTGAAGATTTACAGAGCAAATTCACTTTCCATACAGCAATTCACATACACTTTGTCTCATAACATTGTCTACAATTTACCCCAATGTAACAGCTCCCCTCCCATTTCCTCCCCATAATTACCTCTTTTCTGTATCCATCCCTCCATGTCCTCCTGCACCCTGAGCTGTCTCCCTGTGCATAAGCAGCCCTTCTTTCTCCCATGATTGTTCTCTCCAAGGACTTTATCTATCTCATCTATCTATCTATCTCTATATCATCAACTCATATGCCTGTCTTTTGTCTAGCTGGAAGCCACAGGTGTGGGTTCAATTCCAGACGTGAAGGGCAGCTAGGGGCCATAGTCTCAGTGGTTCCACCAGGCTCTAT